GTCCGGTTGGCACAGGATAGAGCAGGGCTTAGGGCTGTTGTGCATAGGGTCGCTATGAGTCGCAAACGACTCAACGGCACATAACAACAACAACAACCAATATTGGCTCATCCCTCCCACCTTGAACTGTCCAATAACGTATGCAAAGAATTTTAGTTTAGCTCTGTTTCGCTCTTTTGGATGAATAGGTAATATTCCCATCTTATGTTGATTCTCTGGTTTTCTGCTTCAGCCATGGCTGCTGGTTGCTATAAGTCAATTTGCCACAAGACTGTCTGGTCCTAAAGGGCATCAACTGCATGCCTTCTCCTTCGCTGGAGGTGAGAGAGAAATTCTCTGCTGCTGAAATTGCTCATATTTATTGATGAGACTAGCCAATCTACTTGTAGATTGGTGAGACTGGCCAATTCTCTTGAAGAATGGTGAGATTGCCAGTTTATCTCCTTGTGGATACGCTAACTAACATACCCTACTTGCATATCACCACCCATCCATATAGCTAACTCAAGTTCAGTGGCTAGGAAAGCCATATCGAAAGACAAACTCCACACATTTCACACCAAATTATTACCCCTTTCAGCCATTCATCTTGGTAACTACATTTTTACCCAGTGAGAAGCACTCTTAATATCCTGAGCATTGTCTTGGATTCTCTGTCTTGGTGGATCAGTATGATCCCATGACCAGTGCTGATATCCTAGCTGAAAAAGGTACCTTCTAGTCACCTTATCTCCTATGATGAAGATTCTTCTCCCACACTTTGGGCATGTTGCTAAGAGAAGTTATTCCCTGGAGAGGGACATCATGCTTGGAAAGATAGAGGGATGACAAAGGAGAGAAAGATCTTCAATCAGGTAGATTGGCACAATGACTGTAGCAATAAGCTTGAGTGTGTCAGATATTTTGAGGATGGCATAGGATAGGATAGGGTTCATATATGGCTATGAATAATACTTGACTCTCATGGCATCTAACAAGGACAACAACAGGGTGTCCATACTTTAGTAGGTCTTATCTCCTTTTTTTTACAAACACTTTCCTTCCTTTACCTTCTTATCTTGTTTGTCTACACTTTCCAGTTTCTTTTAGATCAGCTCACCACTCATTATCCCAGCTATACTCCTTACTCTGATGATGGACTAGTCTAAAATCTATTTCTTACAGCCAGTTCTTAACTAACTCACCAAATATCATTGATCTACTAAGTGCTATGATTTTAAGACTTGTTCAAAGTGAAGAGAGAGAAAGTAAAATATATTCCACTCTATTGTTCAAGGTGAAGAAAGAGAAGGTAAAATATATTCCACTCTATCAATGAAAATAGAACCAATACCACAATCACCATCAACAAAAATCCAAAACCCATTTTCATAAATGGTAGAATGATTCATGTACTATTCTTCGAATTATTTTCTAATATGCATACTTTTACCTTTCAATAGATGAAAGCTTACTCAATTTATTGAGAACTATATTTTATGCTACGATCCCATAATTGATTTAAACATTGCCAAACTCATATTTATTTGGTTTCTGTTGTTATTGTTCAGTGCCATCGAGTCGTAGATGACTCATAGTGACGCAATGAATGAAAACCTGTACACTCATAAAACTTTTATCATTCCTCTACGTTCATAGAGTTTCTAGAGGCAAGCTGTTTCAGAAGTGGATGCCATTCTTGCTTCTAAGCCTGTTTTAATCTGGGAACGCCACCAAACACTATCCACCATAGGTAACCATTATCACATTTGACACATCAGTGTCACAGCGTTTAGATCACAGCAACCACACCTCTATATAGCAAATAGACAGACCAGTGCTAAAGCACTTAGAAGAATGTTTGATCAAAAACAATTAAAACCAGACCTGAAGGCCATAGATTAAAATCACCCACTTTGGCTTGGTAGCATGACTTTCTATCCAGGAGGCCAACAGAGCTCTCTCTATGACTCATAGTAATTCTATGAATGACCCATCTAACCCCTGCCCTATCCTATGCTATCCCCACAATCCGAGACAAGCCCGAGCCCATTGCTACAGTAACCGTGTCAATCCATTGTGTTGAGGATCTTCTTTTCTTCTCTGACTTTCTACTACTTTTAGCACAATGTCATTTCCCAAGGACTGGAACCTTAAACTGTTGTTTGTTGTTTTTAAATGCCACGTAGTTGTAGAGGACTCATAGCCCCTTAAGAGCGAAAGATCGAAAACTTGTATAACTTTCATCATTTCTCTAAGTCCATTGAGTTTCCGGAGGCAACATTTATACATTCATTTATTCTGACAGAGTGATCAAAAGGAGCAATATTAGCTTGCTAGCTAGCTAGCTAGATAGATAGACAGACAGAGAGACAGATTGATTAATTTTATGTTTATTGGCCCCTATAGTTAAGGCAAAATTTCTAGATTGAGATTTTCCAGTTGAAAAGTCATGTGTACTTTTGATAATTATCTGTAAGAGTAACTAATTAATTAAGTTTTCAAACAGGTTGTGAATTAAAGTACTAATATATCCACTTAATCTCTTAATGATTTACATCAACAAAATATTTTGTGTAAATGTGACGAATTCCATAAAATATTTATATTTAAAAATATATGATTGATGAAAGAATACATATTTCCTATGATAAATAATTTTATTTAACTAAATATATAATTTTCTCTTTTTGTTTATGAGCTATATTTTTTTATTCACAGAAACGTCTTGTATATGTTTGTAACCATTAACATTTTCTGTAAATGATGCAATATATAATTTAATTATACATCATTTAATTATATCTCTTAATTTTTTCTTTTTTGCATTTTATCATTATTTTTAAAGTGTGTTAGTTAAACATATGATGTTTTTGAAAAAGGGGGAAGTAATCTACAGATTGATTAAGAAGGCCTATTGACCCCTAATTTTTAATCTTGAAAATCATCTGAAAATAAAAAAATAATAGTTTATACTTTTCCCTTTTCTCAGTAAAGGTTAAAAAATGGTAATTTTTTAATCTGCCACAAAACTGTACAATAATTACCAATATCTCCATTGATAAAGAATCAATGTCAAGTCCAGGCAAACTTCTCTTGGATTTCTGAGGCTGTACAACGTACAGGAGGCAACTGCAAATGTTTATGTTCCTAAGGAGAAACTGGTCAACTCAAACCACTGAACTCAGGATAGCAACCCAACTTGTAATGCATTATGATACCAGGTATACTGTTAAATAATTAGTTGTTCAACAATTAATTGATTGGAGAGTCAGTGATAACTGACTCTGAGAACAGCTTGACTGAGGAATGGTTGATTAATTAGACGTTTATTTGCCTTATGAAAAATATTAGGTAGATGAGCTTCCCTTTCAGTGTAAATTATCAGTTTAGTCATACTTTACTTTTTTGAGAGGAGTGAAATTTTTTTGAGTGAGTCCTTAAAAGCTTGCTTAACTTGCTTATTCCTCAAGCTATATATGAAGGGATTCAACACTGGTGATATGGATGAAATGAGCACTGATACACCTTTATTAATCTTGACCTCTTCTTTCACAGAAGGTTTGAGATAGATGAAGATGCAGCTCCCATAGGAAATGGAAACTACAATCATGTGGGAAGAACAAGTAGAAAAGGCCTTTTTTCTTTGTTGGACAGAAGGGAATTTTAGAATTGTCCTAATAATATATATGTAGGAGAGAACAATACATAAAAAAGTGATAACAAAGGCCAATACAGCACAGACCATCACCATCTGCTCAATTAACTGTGTTTCTGAGCAAGAGATTTTCAGCATAGGTGGTACATCACAGACAAAATGATCAATGACGTTAGAGTCACAGAATTCCAGATTATAAACTAAACTAAGTGGTGGGAGGATAATCACAAGTGCTGCCAACCAACAACACATAACCATTACTTTGCATACTTTGCTGTTCATGATTGTCATATAATGCAAGGGTTTGCAGATGGCTACGTAACGATCATAGGACATGGTGGCCAAAAGAAAAAAATCAGTTACTGCAAAGAGATCTATGAAAAAGAGTTGAACAGCACATGCATTATAGGTAATTGTTTTGTCATGCATTGATATACTGTACAAGTATCTTGGAACACAGGAAGTGGTAAAGAATATTTCTAGGAAAGAGAAATTTTGGAGGAAAAAATACATTGGTGATTTAAGGTTAATATCCACCATGGTGAGGGTAATGATGGCCAAATTTCCAGTTAGACTCAATATATAGGTGATAAGCAAAAATGTAAAAACCAAAACTTGTACCTGAGGATCTTCTGTCAGTCCCAGAAGGATGAATGTTGTTATTGCTGTTCGATTTCTCATTATTGAACTTCAGGCTTTAGCCAAACCTATATGTAAATATCAGACAGACTGAATTTTTAAATTCAATGATAATGCCAGGTAGTATCCAGCACACTTTCATATTAACTTATTCAACATGTGTAAGGTTGCTTTTCTTCTTGTTGTTGAAAAGAAATGCATTTTCTGATTTAGTTCCCGAATTTATTAATACATAATGAGAACTGAGATTTTTAAAGAATGATTTTTACTACTTGATTAGAGTTTAATTTCATTTTATTTTGAGTAGGTGTGTTGGAGACAGTAAGGTTGGCTCAGGATAGAGCAGAGTTTAGAGCTGTTGTACATAGGTTCGTTCACCTTGTACAGCACATAACAACAACATAATTACTTAGTGAATTTAAATTTTTAGCATATTGGCGTTTGACTCACCTTTGACTCTTAATCATCCACATTTTTAATTTCTCATATCTCTAATACTTAAAACTTTCATCTAGTCACTGTATTTCACAGCATAGTCTGCTTTGTCTGCCACACTCTCTTATCACATTGTGAAGAAATATTGAGTATAATGAATGAGCTTGAAGAACTTAAAAGTTATTTGTTCTTGCTTTAAATAGCTTAGTCCAGCTTGATACCCATTCATACAACATACTTAGCAGTGCTCTGAAAGGAAAAAAAAACCCAAGGTTAAATTGTTGAATCTCTTTTTTTCTTTAATTTTTTAATTATTAATTTCGATGAAAATTTACAGAGACTTTGTATTTCCATTCATTCATTGTTGCACTTTTCTCCCCTCTCAACCTTCCCCCACCCCAGTACACTACCCTCTTGGAAAAGTAAAAGAAAAGTTCTTTCATTGTTTTACAATCCCTTCCCCCAGGTCCACTCCACTATGCAGCCTTTACTCTGGACTCCCATCATGACATAAACACCTAATCACCTATCCCTTTTAAACAGTTTTCTCCCTCATCTGTTTCAATGCAATATACATTATGTAACCCATCTTTCTCAGTCTCCCCCCAAACCCCATGTCAGTCCTGTTTTACAACAGTGGCATCATGCAGTATTTGTCCTTTTGTGACCAAGATACTTCACACACATAATGTCCTCCAGGGTCACCCATTTTGAATAATATTGCATGAGTTCCTTGTTTTTCAATGCAGTGTAGTATTGCATCGTGTGAATATACCAGAGCTTCTCTAGTCATTCGTTTGTTGATGGGCACTTAGGTTGTTTCCAACTCCTTGCTATCATGAACAAAGCTGTGATAAACATGAGTGTGCATATATCTTCTTGAGTGTCAGTTACGGTCTCTTTAGGGTATATTCCAAGTAGTGGAATTGCTGGGTCAAATGATATCTCTATTTGCAACTTTTTGAGAAAGAGCCCCCCCCCAAAAAAAGAAATGTTGAATCTCCTCATAAAGACACTGCATATTCACCCTTCTTCTTTCCTGCAGACTACACTCTTTTTGCCTACTTACGTATTCTACATTCATTTCTGTCCTTCACTATTATACTTTTTATTTCATAAGGTACTAAATACTGCTTTAGTATTTACTTTATATTACTTACTACTGTATATAATCTCTATAATAACAATGTTTATAAGTATCTTGGTAAAGTTATATTTTCTGTATAACTTACATAATTTTGTGAAGTAGGAAGGTATATAATCTCTATATAATCACTCAAAATACCTCACATACTTAGATTTAAAGCGTATATTCAAAGATTCAAAAGGGATTGGTCACACACTGCAACTCTAGATTAGAATCCTAACGCTAATCACTGTATGCTACTGTAGTTACCTGATTATTTGGTTTAATCAGGAGAGTAGTTCTATTAGTATTAAAAACTTTACAAAAATTGTAAATTATTACAAAATTAAAAAAATAGAACCAAGTAGATAGAGTAAGTAGTCGCACTTCTGTTACTAGAGCTGGTGTAAATGGACTGTCAACAGCCAGGTTAAATTTCCAAAACTCCATTTGTATGTAATCACCGCATAATAGCAGAGCTGATGCACATAAAAAAATTACTGAAGTACAAGTATTCAGTTCTCCTTGTGTTACTAATCATCATTTTTTAGGATTGTTTTTTATCATCTGCTTTAAAGTTGTCTCATGAGTTGCAGAGTTAAACCAACAAAAACAAAATTGTTCTGCTGGATTTTTTTGAAAAATTGCAATATTTAGAGAAACAGATCACTAGGTATTTAGTTTTGCAGAGATGTTAAGTTCGTGTTAAAAGCCAAAATTTAGGTATGCAATTGGTATAAAGTGCAAATGCCATGAAGTCTCTTAGTTATCCCCCTAAGTATATACAATCTTGTATATTTGTTTATTTTTTTCTCAGTAAAAATTAATAATAAAGATTAAGGATACTCTCATCCAGGCTAATATGTACAACTAGGTATCAGTTATTTATAATTTTTCTCTGATTATGTTCATAGATATTCATAGATTTGTAACTTACAAGTATCATCTCCAAAGCTCTAAATTTTCTTTTACTAAATGTAAAATGTACTTCCTAGCATGAAACCTTTTTTTTTTAAATTGTATGATATTTTCTTCAGGAAGCATTAATGTATATGTATGGCAGGAATCTTGAAAAATATCTCTTTCTTTTCTTTTTTCCTTCTTTATTTCTCTTTAGTGAACTCACCACTATAGACTCTATATATAAATCTCCATGGCAGAAAGTAGTGATATGAACCCAGATAAAACCCTATGGAAAGAATGGTCTATACATCAGAGTGTCATCATCAGGAGGTAACTGTCCAGTCTGTATTGAAAATCTTTGTTTCTATTTTCCTCTTTTTTAGACTCTCACGATACCACCTACTAGCACATACCCCTGCAAGTACCAGGCAAATTTATTCTGATTTATAACAACTCTACAGTGCAGAGGATAAATGTCTCATTAGATTTTTGAGCATGCAGACTTATTAACAGTAGACTAAGCCACCTCTTCCATTGAAGCAACTGGTAAGTTCCATCTGATAATCGTCTGGTCAGTACTTAACTCAGTGAGCTATATTACCTGAAACATGTAGCAGTGCCCTCGATATTTAATCGCCTTTTCTCATGTATTCAAACCAATCTTCATCCTCAGTACACAGTATTCTCTTTTTATTTATAACTAAAAAAAGATTGCACTCTAGTAAGAACAGACTCATATCTGACCTTCCAGAGGGTTTTTGGAGGCTATAAAAGTGCAGGGGAGGATAGTACTTATCAATCTCCTGCAAAGTCTTTATTGTAATCAAGGCATGAGAAGAGTACCACCTTTGGGTTAGCAGCACAACACTGTACGGCTACACCACAACGATTCCTGGACAGTATCTCTTTTTCACTCATTGCTGAGTTAGAACAGATTTATAGCTGACTCGTAAGCAAAATTGCAGGGACTGTAAATTGTACAGGAGATTTGTTATTTCTCTTTTGCTGAGTTGCTAGTAAATTTGAACTGCCTTATAGAGGTGCTGCTTTTCACTATAGAGGTGGTATCTTGGAGTTACCAGCTCAATGCTGTAGTTGACCAACTAGACCATCTAGTTCCACATGGACATTAAACATCAAATGCTGGCAAGGTTGTGGAGAAATTGGAAGACTTATTCGTTGCTTGTGGGAGTATGAAATGGTGTAACCACTATGGAAGTCTGTATGCAAATAGAAATACCATTTGACCCTGCAATTCCACAACTGGAAATATACCCTAAAGAAACCATAACTGCCACCCAAGGAGATATATGCACATCCATGTTTATTGTGGCTTTGTTCACAAGAGCAAAGATTTGGAAACAACCCAAGTGCCCATCAACAAACGAATGAACACAGAAGCTGTGGTATATTCACACAACACAATACTATGTTGAACTGAAAAACAAGAAACTCATAAAATATCATACAAAATAGGTGACCCTGGAGGACATTATACTGAGTGAACTATCTCAGCCACTAAAGGACAAATATTGCATATGCTATTGTTGTAAAACGGGACTGACATTGAGGTTGAGGGGAGACTGAGAAAGAGCAGATGAATAATGTATACTGCACTGAAACCAATGAGGGAGAGTGCTGTTTAAAAGGGATATGTGATTAGATATTATTGTCATGACAGGAGTCCAGAAGGAAGGCTGCACAGTGGAGTGGACTTGGGGGGGAGGAATTGTATAACAATGAAAGAAATTTATTTTCTTACTTTTCAGAGAAGAGCAAATTGGGGTAAAGGGTGGGCAGGGAGAAAACTGAAATGATGAATGAACGGAAATCCAAAGAC